CATATGCAGAATTTGATTTGTCTATTTCCATAAATTTACTTTCCTCTGAGTAAGAAGGGAGACAGGGAGAGGAGGGAAAGATAAGTCTGCTGACATTACCCCATCTTCTAAAACTAAATGTTGCTTCCTGCCTAACATTTTGAATGCACCAGCAAAAAGGTTGACATCACAGATATATTCATTCTGGTATAATTCAGAATATCTAAGACTTGAAGTGAGTTAAAAAGAGTTTCCAATCCTTTGATTTAATAGGAAGTATGCACTGTATGTAAATTCCATTTCTGTGAATTATACTATGAATCCACTTTGACAGATAAAATGTACAGTCCTGCGTAATTTAAACATGAGTATCTCTATAAATTGCATACTCTTAAAGTTCTATGTATGGAGACTTTTCTGTCAGTCAGAGATTGAATCAGTCAGGCTGGTATTTCCTCATCTTTCACTAGCCCACCTCATCAAGTATGTATATCTGAGAAGACAGGAGTACTACTAACACATGCTCTCACAAGATGAAAGAGGAGCCATGGAGCTGGCTCTTTGCTCTGAGAGATTTGCCCAAGCGAAATTAAGTGAGAGCCTTCTTTGTGCTAATGCTTGGTACCCAATTTTCCACCCGTGTATGACATCTCATATTTAATGATGTCTGGGCTCTGCAGTTTACATATCTATCCTATAAGAAGATTTTATTTCTCTAAAACAAGGTAGTGCTGGAGAAGGAACTCCTTACTTAGAAGGGGGAAGAACAGCAGGCAATTAAAGGCATGTCTGAAGGTAAAACAAGAACACAGCTTGGTACTGGCTCACACAAATATAGTCTTTCATTCTGCTTGTATGTGCCAGCTAACCCTCAATGCCTTGTCCTAACAAACACTACTCTGAATGCAGCTTTTTGGAGTCCTGCTCTGCAGCACTAAATCTGGGCTCCCTCATCCTCAGCAGCTTTGATCAGACACATTCATGAAGGCAGCAGCAGGCCTTGCTGCCCATGGTATTAGCACAGCCTGAGTGTTGCCATGGTGATTTCAAAGCAGAGGATGGTGAGCAAGTTTTGAAGAGATTGTGGCTTATGCATATTAACAGTGCAGGAGAAGGAAGAGTTTCCCTCATGTAGAAACAGACTACTAATCTGTGGACTCCCTGTGGTGGCAAAGGCAGCACTGTGAGCTGCTGTCTGTCACTGCCTTCATAGAGCCCTTTATTCTGGGGCAGCAAGTGCACTGAGCCTCAGAATCAGCCACACAGTTGTGGAGTTTGGCTGGCTTCAGTAACTTGAGGAGTTGTAACTAAGACCTGGGTCACAATTTTCTAAGTTCTCAATCATTTTGTTTTACTAGGAATTTGGTAATTTTCATTTAAAAATATTACTGCAAGCAAATGTGAGTAAGCAAACTTTAAGATACACTATTAGGCCTCATTTACTTGCTACAAATCATAGTTCCACTGAGCTTCCTATGAAGCTACAGGAGCCCAAGCAAAAAGACTGTATCTTGATCCTAAATGTCATCCTAGCATCTTTTTCCATGATAACAAATTTGTGCAGGTGGAATTCTGCTTTCTCTGAAATAATTTTAGTGGAAAAGAAGCAAGATGGTAATCATCCTGCTATATCCTGTGGAACAAATTCATTGCATTCCTCTCTTGCCATGACTCATTGGGTCAAATCTTCAGTAGCTGTAAACAATCACGATTCTGTTCAATGCAATGGCTGAGTCCTCAGCTAATGAAAACCTGTTTTGCTCCACTGAGGCTGAGTGATGTCAGTTGGTCAGCCTACGCTAAGTTATTCCTCGTGTGCCTCAGTTTCCCCAGAACAATCCTCACCCATCTGTACAGAGCATGCTGAGGACTGCATATGAAAGTCTAAGGAGGCAATAATCTCCCACAGACATGGCAAAACCTCGTGGTAGATGAGAACAGCTAACAACTGCAATCTAGTGAGTGTGACTGCTGTGCTACAGACTTAGTGGCTTTGTCCTGTGACTGAACCATGGGTTTGAATCCCTGTTTTAAGCAAAGATGTCCAGCTAACTAACTTCACCTCCAGCATATCTGGACACCACTGTTGCTATTCTTTGTGTGAAACATTTTTTGGGTTACAATTGAGATAAGACTAATATGTGTCCTCATAATTCTCAGCAGGTTTCATGAAGAGTAATGTAATTATGCCTTTTGCAAAACTGAGGTTAGATACATAGATATTTTCAGGAGAGTACTTCTCTTCACTCACATGCATACACTAGATTTGACTTACTTCTAGCATTCAGTGAAATAGAAGACACAGAGTAGTCGTCTACTCAGCAAAGGGAAAACTGAAGCACAGAGAAGCTGATGTGGAGGTTCTGATTCTCAGCTAAAGTGTCTGTCTTTTCTTTGGAGTTCTTTTCTCCCGTATAACACTTAACACTGTACAGTGAAAGTACATTTACTGCTCACCTGATGAAGTTTGACGAAGTTGCCTGGAATTCATCTGTGCATTGAATTTGTGTTGGGCTGAACAGAGGTCCAGTAGATATTTGCATGTCTTTGCTGTATCGGTAATGAACGTGTGTTTCTTGCCACTGAAGCTACTTTCAATCATGAATTTCTTTCTCTGAAGGAAAAAACACAGCTTGCTTCATCTAGTATATCAAACATTATACTGAGGCACTGAAGTTCATCTTCATCCTATTTGTCTACATACATTTCTGCCTTTCCACATCTCTTGCAGTTGAATAAAATGCCCATTGTATTTTCAACTGCTGTCAGCTCTTAACTGCCCTCTGTTGAAAGTCAAAAGCCTTTGAGGCATTGACTGCACTGGGAGCAGGTTGATAGGCTTGGCAAATTTGTTCCTAGAGATCTTAAACTTTTTAAACCAGTTGAAAGTGAAACTGAAAAATCTTCAAGGGTCAGAAAGGCTATCTTGGGACAGCAAATAGACTGGGAGATGTGGTGAATATTAGTACTGTAAGATGGTATATTGGCACACCTCTGGTAGAAGGTAGGAGTTATAGTCTTGTCACCAATACTTAGTGTTTGAGAGACACTGCATATACTAAGAGATAAGGATGCAAAAAGTAAGATCTGTAAAAAAGGCAGTCAAGATCCAGTGACCTGATGCAGAAAGGAAAATGAAAAAAAAAAAGGAAGAGAGAAGTGAAGATGGGAAAGGAGTGAATAAAGAATAGAGGTTAGGCATCATTTTTGTAGTACTCAGCTTATTCAGATTTGTAGTAATTGACTTCAGCCTTGTCAAAAACAAACAGGAGCAACAGCAAAAACCAGAACAAAGTGTCTCCGAGAATTGGCTATCCAGACATCCATGAACATGTCATGCCTTGATTTTAGTCTGGTTTCAAAAAGAACATATCTGTACAAAATCAGTCTAATTCTAGCACCAAATGGAAGAAAGTTATAAAAGTGACAGAAGAGGTGTAAAGTAGTAGAATTTCACTTGGTTGCAACTCACATGAGCTGAAATTCTCTCTGTTTCCCGCCACTGGAATCTTAAACTGGCAATTCTTGTGTGATTTTTGACCTCATATACAATGATGCCTTTGGCACAGATTCCCAAGATGATGTCCCCTCCTGTTCCTTTCTTCTCTTGGGACACACGATAAAATAGTACTCCATATTCAGGAAGCTGCTGAGTTACCTAATAGAGAAAAAGTGCGCTTACCACGTATTATTAAAAAAGAGGCATAAGGAAAATTGGTAGGTAGATGGGAGGGGAAAGGGTTTTGAGTGTCTTTACAGTATCTTCTTTGACTCCCTCAAGAAAGGCTTAGAAACCCTTCCCAAATTTTCATACCTGCTCCCTCACAAAATAATCACTTGACTTTGATATGTCATTGAGCTACTATACGCATTCATTTTCCATGATAAAATTGAAATAGCACTTTCCCACATACCTCATTTGAAGAACTAAGAGGATTATGTAATTTCCTGCAGAATAATCTAAACTTTACAGTGGCATTGAAGCAATAGTATTACTGCTACTTAGTATTTGCATGTATTTCTGAACAGATTAATACTGTTCAACTACTACTAAACCTTATTTCTGTTTTCTTTTCTATGTCTTTGTTTCCCCAAGAAAATTAGAAACCATAAAGTACAGCAGATACGCTGATCTTAGGAAAACTGCTACAACTTTTGTGCCAGGGCTGCTCTGGCATTGTTATTGATAACAAAGTCACCCAAGTACATACGTTAATTTCTTCACTGCTATCATTTTTTAAAAGCAGATATTAAAAATTTCTTTTGCAACAAATCTTGAGTTATGGGGTTTTCTTCTAACATCATGAAGAGGATATTACAAGGAACCACACCCAGCAGTTCTAGATGCTTGTCTTTCTACCTCCTACTCTTGGCACAAAATGTTAAAATGTGAATTAGACCTTTTCTAGGACTACAGAATATTATGATGATTTTCTGGTCGCTTTTGTGATATGCAGATCAATATTAATTTATCCTAATATCCTTTTTTTTTTTTTTTTTTTTTGTGGGAAGCCCATGCAGAATTTCAACCATGAATAGAGATTTTATTTTCCAAAATAAAACACTTTAAGAAGAACTATTTTCAGAAGAAAAAAAGAAAAAAAGAAGAATCCAGAGCACAAATATTCAGGGCCTGAAAACTGGGACATCCATAATCATGATACAAATCTTGGTTTCAATTTTTAATCCCTTTTATATTTGGAATTTGCAGTTCTTGCCATGGGCGCTGTCTTTCTCACTGTGTATGATGTGTTGTCTCCTTCTTCAGGAATTCATTGAAACAAATATGAACAAAGCTGCTTTCCTTCACTGGATTTGCCATGCATGATGGGACTGTTATTAAGGCTAAGCTTCAATCTATTTCTTCAATTCCACTGACAGTCTTAGATGATAAACGAACATAATTAAACAGCAATTGAACTGAAATGATGCTATAAATAAAAACATGTGGCACTGCAGCAAAATGGCTTCTGTTATTTATTCATTTTCTATTTCTTGATGTTTTCCATTTTATGGAAAGCTGAGAAGTTTGGAGAGGAAGAGAAATTAAGAAAAAAATTAAATCCTGCATCATCATAACACTCTTGATAAAGGATCATATGAGATAATACTTCAGCTAACTCCTTCCTCACTTCTGTGCTTCGCATATGTCTTGAACAACCAATCACTGCTTGTTTAGAAAATTTCTGAACATGTGCTATAGTTTTGGAACTCAAAAGAGTGCTTATTGCCCTGCTTTACAATTATCTCTCTCTAATACATTCAATAGTTGTATTCATAATCATCCAGAATCTAGACAACATGTTCTTAATATGCTGAAAACTTGCAGCAGCTCTTAGGATGTTGAAAATATCCTGAAATGTGCATTAACAGTTTATAAACTATCAATAGAAAGACACCTAATACTTCAATGGAGTATAAGTTGATAATAGTGACAGTGCCTATAGCAGAATGAAATTTTGAGTTTTGTGTTGAATATTCAAATTTGTTCACAGCATCTAAAATCCATTGATTTAGACAAGGAAATAATAGACAATGGCAAATAAAGACTTGAAATCAGAAACTAAATAGATAAATACCCTTTGGTGTGTGGCAAATTACCTTTAAAAATTCTAGTTCAGCTTCATCCTCAAATAGGGAGCGATTCATGCGATGTAATTTAGCAAGCTCTCTCTGTACATGTGCCAGGGTCATTTTCTCTATTCGGCTTGCTGGAATGTAGTCTTCAACACGAAAATAACTCTTTCCATGTACCTTTAGGGGAAAAAAAAATGAAAAGACAAAAGAGACAGGAGCCTTTTGTTCTGTCTTGACTTTTCTTATTTGATGCATTTCCACTTTCAGTGTGACCCATATTGCTGAAGTCATCCTGCTGCCATTTCCTAAAAGAAGATAGGGAACAGCAGATAGTGTGTCCTGACAGCCAAATGTGCCTCCTGCACCTGTGCTCATCCAGATGCTCAGGGCACACACTATGCTGTGCAGAGGGAAGAAAAGAGGTGTGCATACAGGCAACCCAGCTGTCTTACATTCACAGCTGACAGCCGTAGTTGTAAGAACCAGTGTCAGGCTGTATCAGATTGGATGCATCAGATCATTGAGTGCTACACTGATTTGCATAACTGAAGATATCACAGAGAACAGAAAGGATGTTTTCTGGAAACTTTGAAACTACAAGGACAAGTTCAGATACACTCTCAGCAACTTTCTTGTCTTTGCAGCTTCTGGATCTGAACCTACATACAAAATCTCTGTGAATTCCGGAGTGTTTATTTTTCTCTTCCTTGCTTTCTAATCCCTTTAAACCCCTTTGCACACCCAAGCTGTGCCTATACTGGAATTTTTCTTCTAATTATCTGGGGATCTTTGGCTACATTGACAATTATGAAGGATCAAGAACCTTTCATCATTCTGCCACATTTACTGCCAAATTCATCTGGCTCACTAAGACTTCATAATCAGACAAATTTCATAATTCTTTAAATCTGAAATGTGATTACTGAAGGACTTAGTTCAAATTATGCAATATTCACATTTCATTTTTTAACTATATGACAAGCAAAAGCTGCAAAAGCTGTTGACAGAGACCTCTGAGAAATATTTTATTATTTATCCACACCTCAGAAGCATAATTGCCAAGCTCTGCCTGTAAAGCCAAAGCGCCAAGTTTCAGGGCAGTCTCATCATTGCAATATAACCGCTCCTCCAAAATATCTTTACGAAGCTGCAGGTAAAACTGGTGTCTCGTCAAGCTGTGCCTGGAACACAGAAGGGATTAAGAACACAAGATGAGCTTTGACCACTCAACCTGCCTGCCACTGTTTTACCAGTAGTTAGCAGAAACATGCACTTACTGGATAACATTAAAGTGGCTGACAAAGAATTTTATTCTTAGGAAGAGTGTGAAGTTGATGATGGAGGTTTTCTTCTTTGGTTGGTCATTCCAGCCATCTGGGGCCACTTTGTAGAGTTTAGTCTCATCATCCAAAAAGAAAAACTCCTTACCTGAAATAAGAATTTGTGGTTCTATGGTAAGTCTGGAGCCCAAAACAGCTTCCATAACTCAAAATTCTGCTGCCTGTGTTCAGAACATCACTAGCAATAAAAAAATCATGAATATCAGTCGAGGTCAACTTCTCGGTGTTATGGACTAGTCTACTGCTGCTTTGACAAAGAATTTAGGATGACATCTAGCATGTAATTTAGGATTACAACTGTTAGATATGGATTGGTATGATGTCTATGCAATTATTCAAGAATCTATGAGGCTTGAATTCTGCTAAGTATTCAGGTTCTTCACTCCAAATTACATCTGAGATCATTGACAATCAGCCTTGTGCAGTACAGAGCTTCCAAGAATTCTGCTGGGGTAATGTGGCTCAGCATTATTCTGGCATATGGCTTGGACAGAGCCTTTTCTGCATGAGAATATCAGCTAGTGTCAGTGTGGCTGTAGTCATGCACAGTATTAAAGTAGACATGCTTTCCATCAGTGCAGTACAGTTTAAATGAACATAACTTACTTTTGCTTAAGCTTTAGATCTGCTTACATCTGAAGATCTTTAAGGATCTTACTGGAATTCATTAATAAACGGACTATGAAGGCACTGTCAGGAGAGACCAGAATTAGCTGTACCAGAATTACCTTTCAGATAAGCCAAACCGAAGTAGGAATGTTCCACCAAGCTTGCATATGCCACCACAGTATTGAAAACATCTCTTGCCTTGGACTTGATGTCACACTGCACCTCAAGGCACTGACCATTGAGTAGAATCACATTGAGATCCCTTTGGGACAAATAGGATTTTCCTTTCTTAGTCTAAGAACATATAATAAAGAGCAAAGAATAAGTACCAAGTACAAGCAATGCAAACTCCACAGCATTTTATTGCTAAGGCCCTGGTCTCCAGTCCCTGCACAACCTGATGAAATTGGCCACAACACTATTCTAATCCCTGCCTCCACTATCACAAATCATATCATATCCCAAACGTATCCAATTAAAAACAAACCAGCCAACAACAAGCAAAACAAAAACTGAAACAAGCAAACAAAAGAAAAATCAGGGAATCTTAACAAAATAGATTCTGCAATCATCAGGACTTGTTCTAGATTTGAAGAAAATCCCAGGTGTTTTTTTTTTCCTAATATTTACTGCTCTAGGCCATCAGACTTTTGCTTTATCTTATGAAAGGTAAAGGGTGCACTTGCAAACTGGAGGAGTCCAGTAAACTGGCTCTAGATGTCACCTTGGTAATTTGTTGTATAATCTTAGTCTCAAAAGTCTTGTACTAATGAGCGCATTCTTATCTGAGAAAGATGAATTCAGCTATTTTCACAGCAGTCACTGCAACAGAGATAGTTATGCTGTAATGAGAATTAAATGGTCTCCTTTCGAGTCTCAGTACTTGTGCAGGAACTCTAACTCAGTTTGAAAAGGGGGCATAACAAGAGTTCTGGGGTGGGACTCAGATGAAACTCAGAAAGAGTCCCAACTCAAAGATCATAAAATTAGCTCAAAATTCTTAATGCTTGTACTTACCACAATTGATCCAGGCAGCTGTAAGGTCACTGGTGGTTCACTTGACAAAATAATGAATTCTGGACCTGAGAACTGTAAGGGGACAATTCAGAAATGTAAAAAATGTATCTTTAATATAACAAAGATCCCTAGGAATGGTACCAATTAAACCCATTTCTGTTGATTGGCATGCTGCACCTAAATGACTTCAGGGACTTATGTGGTGCAAATGCTGATTTAAGACTTCCATCTGTTGGAGCTCTCTCCTGTTTATTTACTCTGGGGCCTAATTATGCTTAGTCTTTACATACAAGACCTTTCACTGTCTTTGGTTCCGAGTTATCACAACTGGATCATGACTAATCTGGACTCTGTCAGTTTAGGAGACTCAGCTAAAGTGATGACTCAGTAGCTAATATGCACATCATTAATGAATGACAATTGAACTAAAAGTTTCTCTTTAGTGATATTTACATTTTGAGATCAGCTTACACGTTTTTCATTAGTCACCTTTTCCTTCCTTTGGAACAAACATTTCTGTGATGTAGCAGCTGCTGTGTAGTCCTTTGTAGACACAGAGAAGGTGGAGCCTAAACTCAGCAGGTTGTGTCTGCTGTTCCTATGAGCTCCACCAGGGATTTCTTCTACAGCGCTGACTGACCTTCAAAGGAGATGTCACAGTGAGAAAGATATCCAGAACACAGCAAAACAACACAGGCTTGTACCTTGTTAAGGTACACTGATGACAGAATCTTATGATAACAAGGACAATGTCAGCTACAAGTTATTACGCGTTGTCATCATTACAGGAAAAGAGATTATCAGATCTAGTATTAATGATGCAGTTTATAAACAAATCAAAATTACTCTTTAATTTAGTAACAGTTCTTTGTTTTCTTTATTTGGTGAGCCAGATCTTGCTGGCCTAAGTCCATTGAAGGCAACAGGCACAGGAGTTAGCCCCATATATTTCTGGGGCTTTCTGCAAAGTCTACAGAAAGAAATCAATATCTCATTTAATGTTTTTTTGAAACAAAAAAAGCTTCAGAAACAATATTTGTTATTACATTATTTGGAATTTTCCAGGAATGGGAATAAAATTATTTTAATACTAATTCATTAACATAAATTAATGTCTTAAGGAACTGAGTTTTCAGTTTCATTAAAAGATGTGTGAAATCTCAGATCAGAAAGCTGTCTTTGTACTGTACTTTTAACCCATAAATTAATAGTTTTTCCATGTGAGTGGAAAAATGTATGCCTAGAATAAGCTTGCAATGTAATTAATGTACGCTTACTAATCAAGAAAGAATCATTACACAGTACAGAAGGAAATGTTTTGTGATCATGGCTTTTTGTTAATTATATTTTTAGGAAATGCCAAAATTACAATGAAGTAAGAGTTTTTTGTTGCTTTGTGGGGTTTTGTTTCTTTTATCCTTTTGTTGTGTGTGTGATGGAGTTGCTCCAGATAGCTAGAGAGTTTCAAAAGCTTTTTATCAAATTTGTTGGAGTAGTTTATATTTCTCTACTTATACAAATATACAAGTATTGTCGTTTCAATATTCAATCTCAGAAAGATCATTTTACTATGAAATATCCCTAAAAGTAACCTCAAGTGACATTTGTGGGTATGAAAATGCTACTGACTCACAACCAAGAGATTGTGTCGGACAGACTATATTTTCCCGTGGCAAACACTTCATGTTATTAGTCCTGCAGACTGACGGGTACCAGACGTGGCACCTCTATCTTCTTTATGTATAGGCTGTAGCCCTGCATAGACTTGTAAGCTTAAATTTAGGACTGTGAGATGTAAATTATGATGATGACTGGACTCCTTACAGAGCGTGATTATGTGAGTAAGTTTTATAGGCAGTAAATACTTACTTTGTTTTGTGTTGGCTGCCTGACATAGGGAACCAGCAGGTTCCAAACAAATTATTTCCACTCTGCTGTTGTTATTGTATGTGAAACAGAGTCAGTGATCGTGCTGGATATTCAATTGCAGGTGCTTTCAACTAAAGGTGAGGCTTAATGTTCCTGAAGTTTTATGGGAAAGGGTTTGCTGGAAATTTGGAAAAGAGTGATCATCTTTCAGGAGAGGAGAACATTTTCCTGTCAGCTCTATTTTAGATCATGAATGTCAAGTTGATACCCAGCTTGGTAGTCAGAAGCATGGAAGTTGCTCCAAAAACACTCAGTAAATGAATCTTCTACTGATATATTTGCTAGGTGTGTGATATATATATATAGGTTTCAGTAGACACATATATATGCATGTGTAGTTAGACACAGTTCTTCCTTCACAAAAGCTGCTACTGTAATGCATCCTGCTTGTTTCAGGTTTAGAGGTACAGTGAGGTATCTCCCATAAATCAGATTATCATGGCTGGTTTACCAGGAAGTTCAAACTGTTTATTTGGGATACTTTTAATTGGGAATTGATCTAAATTGAGCATTTCCTGTGGGCCTAAATTACTCATGTCATGGTTAAAAGAAGAAACTCCTGATTAACTGGGTCAAGAACTCAATTTAAATGGGATGTCTGTAGGGATTATACAGTGCTTAACCATGGGATTCTGGTCTTTGTGATGCCTAGAGGCTAACAGCACCTACATCTCTTCTCCATTTATTGAGTCTTGATTATAACTGCACCATGATAACACCTAGTCTAGAAAACTCTTACTAGGAAATAGCGGTGTTTTAGCTGGCTTTTGAAAATAAGCCAGCATCAACTGTACAATCCTCTGTTGTCCTTGCGTATGTACAAGGCTACTGTTGTATTTCCAAGGCTGAAATGAGGCTAATTCTCATGACAGAGCAGAGGTCTTTACTGTTATCTCCCCACGTTACCTGTAACTCCTCAATAAAATGCTAGTGCAGATCTGGAAATAAAACTGGCACAAGTGAGGTAAATCTATCTGAGAACTGAGATGGGAATGAAGATAATCTACTGAAATATCGGTCATGCACAAGCGTAGTATTGCATAGCCACTTCAGAACAGATCAGGCCTCTGCTAATGTGAGAGCAAGGCAAGACTCAGATCCAAAATCTGAATGAAGACAAACAGGGATTCTGCAAAATGCCTTTCCAGTAGAAGCACTGACTGTTTTTTACCACTACACATCTGTGGAAATTGTGTCAGGCTTTTCCTTTCCACAGTGTCTGAGTTTGGCAGTAGGGGCAGCTGTGTAATAGCTGTGCAACTATTTTGAGAGGACAGTAACATCTGGGAGAACACGGTGGTGAAGAAGTGGAAGTGGATAATTTCAGTGTGCCTGTTTTGTATGGATTGCTCAGGGCCAGAGCTCAATTTCTTTAAAGCATTTGTACAATTTTGGTTAAAGCCAAACTGATCTTAGATGCACTTTAATTCTAAGTAAATAGTATCTGTTATCATAACAGATTCAGTTGGTAATCCAAGTAATTTCCAGTAATGACATTGCCACACTAGTTCTCTGCTTCATTTGGTAATAAAACAGCCTCTGTCTTCAGGAATATAAGTTTTGATTACCTGTTTATGAAGAGCTTGTAGCTGCTTTGTGTCCTTGATCCACTAAGGGTGGGGTCCCATGACCTGTGTGTCTGCGTAACTCTCCCTAAAAGGAATGAAGGAAGTGTCACGGTTGAAGAAATTGTAGCCGCACTCTGGGGACAATTAGAATAAGCAGAAAGTTTAGACTGACCACTTTCTCTCTTGTGGCCTTGCCTGGGCATGAAAATAACTACTTAATAAGACTATGTGAATACTACACCAGAAATATTCCCCAGTTCTGTAGTCATTGTTACTTCTTCTTCATTACCCCTTAGGAGGATGTAATACAGAAGATAGCTGCATGTGTACAATGCCTATTGTTTCCGTATGCTTTCAAGTAATTTGTGAAACAGCTTTTACTCTTCGGAAATTACCTATAGTATTTCTTCTTCCATTTTCAGGTACAAAATCTGGGGAAATAAGCCATGAAACTTGTCTGCTTTAATAAGATCAAGATATAAAATCACTGAAATTAAAATTATTTATACATAGTCCACTGATTATTTGCTACATCAAGTATATTGTAAATGTTTTTACATCATAAAAATCTAGTAATGATATTGCATAGTTTGAATCGTGAGCAAATAAAATCTGTAAAATTTTTCACCTTCATTCAGCTCTGGTGCTAGATAAAGAATAAGCATTTCTTTGTCCCAGTAAATGAAAAATAAAAAATAGAGGTAGAATCAGAAATGGTAATGCAAGTGGTAGTTTCATGAATGTTTTTAGAAGCATCAGAGCTCTTTTAAATCCCTCAAGGAAGAGTGGTAATGTTAAATTTGTCTCCACTTCGATCACTTCAGTGATCTGATTTAAAGAACTGTGTATCAAATTATCACATAGACAGAACGATAGACCTGATAAGTTAAACTAAGATAGGACAGCTTTTCTTGCAGGTAAAGTATCCATAACTGCAGCCTGAGACTTCTCTCTGAATTCCAGCATGAAAACACAGCGATAGATTCCAGTGTACCAGTCACCAACTGCAATTTAACAACATACAAAATCAAGTCACCTTGCTAAAATGTACATAAACTTTTTAAAAATATTTTTATTTATATTTTTTTATGCAGATGGTATTGACAAAATGTAAGATATGAGATGAGCCTAATACTCAAGCCTAGTTACAAAAGTTAAGGTACAGTCTCATGTTCTAAAATGACATGATCTTTCATGAGAAAGCCTGCACAGCTATCTACTCAGAGATTTTACATTTTTGTGTATATGTATTGTGACAAGAACATAACATTTCCTTTAGTTTTCTCACTCTCAGCTGTTGTGGCACTGGGACAAGTTGGCTAGTTTCAGTGGCAAGACTGTCATGCTTCAATCATAAATCCAATACATTCTTGATGTTTAAGGTTAACATGCAGCTTCAGAGAAGTTGACTCTGTAGATGATTAATTTGTTGTATATTAAGCGAGCTTCTAAAGTCCAGCCTGGATTGAGATACTGATCTCTCTTGATAATGATGTTCTACCAGATGGTAATGTTTCTTTTAGCAGAAGAATGCCTATATATTTTTTTTCTTTAAATACTTTATCTCAGGCAATAATGTCTGTAGGAAACAAGCACTCACATTCAAGTTTTCTTCCTGCATTTTTAGAGATTTTTATCACATTCTGAGTACAGCTGCCAGTGGTTCAGTGGAGAATGAGACAGACTCAGGTTTAGTGAAACGAGCTTTTCCCACGTTTATGACCAAAATTTAAAAAATAAAAGGACTTTCAAAACAGTCTCCTGAGCTTGCTTTCGCCATGTGTTGCTAGGTAAATGACTGACACGTATGAGCCTCAGCAGGATAGCCATGGTACCTTACAGGTTTTTATTTGCTGCCATATTAAATGCAATTCTTTAGCAGCACATTTCACAGGAAGAAAGTATTAACAGAAGCTGCATGCGTACTCTCTCCTTTCTCTTCTCTGGGACCGGGGGCTGAGAGGCTGCTCTACTTTTTTATTTTCCTGGGGTATGTTCTATTTCTCTTGGTAGGTTATCTCCTGGCAGACTTCCAGTTATGCAATGTGCACCCAAGTTTTCTGCTCTGTTTTTGGAGGAAATTAATTCTTTGAGATCAGACTCTATGCCTTTCATTTTCGCCTAGTAAATTTTAAACTTGTCAAATCTGAAGGAGAATGGGTAATATGTTCCCACAGATTTCATGATAGTCAGCAGCTATATATCAGAAACCAAAATTAATGCTCTCCAGTGAGAAAAAGCAAGCAAAACTCAGCAGTTATCTGTTATTTATAGCATCAATGAACTTAACAGTTGGTGTGCATACCTTGTTGCATGATAACTGATATGGTGGATGTTAGATGTATTGCCTTAGCAAAGAAATTTCTGGGATGAAAGACACACATGCTATAGAGCACATCTGAATCCCTGCCACAGCAGGAGATAAGACTTTGGCTACTAATGGACCCTGACTGATGTCTACCACAGTGTCTTCACTGAATGGATCCTCTGCCAAGCAGCTTCATTCATTCTGTTCCTGCCATAAAAGGGTTGAAAATACAGCTGAAATTCCAACCCTCATGTCTCTAGACAAAGTAAATCAGAAGAGCAGCGTAGCAACCTGGCATTTATTACAATGAAAACAACATGCAGAGCAGGAAATACACAATAGCTTCAGGACAAAATGATAACAAAACAATAAGTGGTTTGTTTATTTGTTCTTGTTAGTTAGTTTGTTTTCTCTAGCTCTCAGTTTTAGTTTCTGAATGGACTGGAAGAAACATTAATCCCCACCATTGAAGTGTCAGGTATTTTTCAAAGATTCAACTTATTTCTGTGCTGCTGTCTTGACACTGCCATCTATGTGGGGTAGCTGCATGGCTTCTCATCTGTTTCAAAACGCCAGGTGGCAGAAACATGCTGTCAGGCTTTGTCTGTGATCTGCTGAACAGCTTCATCTGGCAAAGAGGCATAAAGCAAGAAAGAGGTGATGGTGCTGCCTGGTAGGACACAGTTAAAAGGAGTCCAGTATAAAAGGTTATTCCCTGATGCTTAGTCAAACATACCTCCCTAGACATGTAGCTATAAGGGCACAGGAGTTCCTGTCACTTGGCAGTATGTAGGTAGTTTCATTTTTCAGGGGACAAAAAGAGTACATAGTTCAATAACAATAATTTTTCAGGAAAATCTTACCTCTTCTGTGTCCTCGGTTAGACAGTATCAACGATGTACTTTCTGAAATGCTATTAGTGTCACTGTAGTCCACAGACAGTTGCCTGTAATCTTCTGTTGACCGACTGTAATTCATTAATCTGGACCCTTTATCTGGAAATAGAAAGGAAATAAGGTGAATCACAAACTTCAATTATAAATCATTGTATCTCTGTGATAAAAGACAGCATAAATAACATTTGGCTTGACTAACTTTTACATAGTCCATGTTTGTCTGTCTTCTAACCCTGACTTCACTTCCTTAAGGACTGAAAAAATCTTGGTAACATAATTCTACCTCTGGCCTTAAGTAATCTTATTCTGTCTCAGTTATCACAGTTCTCAACCATTCCAAATAAAACAAATCTAATATATTAATTGTATTCTGCATGCTTAACTGAAAGGTTGCAAAGTCAGATAACCAAGAAAGATGATCTCCTTTCTTATATTTGAAGGCCCAAAACCTTCAGCTATAAGCTACTCTTTCTTTGTGCATTATCAGAATCAGCTGCAAAAATTCCATTAATAATAGGCTGGGTCTGTTCAGCCTGAAGAATAAGAGACTGAGAAGGGATCTCATCAATGTTTACAAATATCTTTAGTGTGGGAGTCAAATGGATGGGGCCAGGCTCTCTTCAGTGGTGTGCAGCAATAGAACAAGGGGTAATGGGCAAAAACTAGAACACAGAAAATTGCACACAAACATGCAAAATAACTTCTTTACTGTGAGAGTGACAGACTACTAGGACAGGATGCCCGGAGACACTGTGGAGTCTCCTTCTTTCTCTAGAGATATTTGAGACCTGTCTGGAAGTTCTTCTGTTCAGTTGACGATAGGGACCCTGCTTTAGCAGTGGGGTTGGACTGGAGGACCTCCACAGGTCTCTTCCAACCTTTATAATTCTATGATTCTATGATTCTAAGAATCTATGATTCTATGATTAAGGAGTAATCCTAAATATTGCTGTTGCAGCCTAACTGTACTTTGGCTGCATTTTCTCTTGACTTTTTCCAGAATCTCAAAAGCTGATAATTTTTAACTGAAATTAAAAAAAAAATAAAATAAATGAAATGCTGCATTATAATGTTTGGCTCACGCATTCTCAATTGTAATTGACATACCAATTCATTAAATCCTTTAAGCAAATACAAGCCATATTGCTTAACTCACTAGAATACAAAGAACTCATCCCAAATACATAATCACTGGATCCAAGAATTGGAGTCTAATAGGCAGCTAAGGATGGGACCATCCCTTTGGGCAGCAGTTTCACCAGCTTAAGTAAAACTGAATTTATAAGTTCAGTTCCTGAATCACTATGATTTAAGGGTGCATTGGCTGTATCTTTTCAAATGGATCTCCTTTTCTTGTGATGAACACCTAATAGAGAAGTTGCATAGAAATTTAACCATGTGCTTAGTTCTAGTTGAAATTAATGGAAAATATATGTGATTTGCCAAGCAGTTATTGGATTGTCCATAGATTTGACGTTGAGCATCCAAAAAAATCTGTACATCTTGGGCCAGAGTCAACCCTTCCCTTGTCCCAAGCCTACAGATTTCTGTTAAAGAGAACGGTCTAATCAAGATAAAAAGAGAGAAGAATTAGAAAAAAGAACTCATCTGAACCTGAAATCCATACTTAGTTACAATTGGAGAATTCCCGAGCGATAAGAAAATCTTGATTTTAATCAAATAAAATGTGAAATCAGTGTATGTTGGCTTATATATATATGGTGAGCAGGATTTGGCCTTCTGTCTTGAAATTACTCCAGCAATATATGTGTGAAATTACAAAACATGTTTTGAATGGAGAAATGGAACTAAAATATTAAAAAGAAACCACAAATCTTTGCTTGAGTAATCAAATGGGAAGGATAAATATATCCTCTTTAATGGCCACAGGATATCACCACAGAATTCCACTCTTGATCTTTGAAAATACACTGAAGTGTAGAAAGCAAAGAAGCAGCACTGGAAGCACTTTTGTTTTATATGCAGTTCTTATGCAAAAGAGTCAAGTATGTGCAAGCTGATTTGTTATCATTGCTTTGCCTCCATCAGACTACTGTTATTTGAGAAAACAAGAGACAGAAGTCTTGCTGACTTGCCCCAGAGTCTTTCCATTATTAAGACATTTAAACGTAAAGCAATAAATATCCTATTCAACACTACATATAATCAGAGCAACATGAAATTAGACTATTCATCTGACTTGAGAGAGAGTCAGAAAAAGCTGTTAGGCATTTCAGATTAGAGGTTTACTTTACCTTGGTGAAAATTCATGTGGGAGAACAGTGGTGAGGTGTCTGGTATTTTCTCATGCAGTCTCTTCCTTATCACATGACTTCTATTAAGCTGAGAAGTTGTACTGTCTTCAGTGGCTACTCGTTCTATCTAGAAAACAATGGCACTGCAAGTCAGTGTCACGTGATATGTGGACTTCAGACACTCATTAGGAAGTGATCCTTGCCCTTTGCTGATTTGCATTTTGTAAGCAACTTCATTTTCTTAGGCAGGCTTCACAAAGCAGAACCAACCTTTGAGGGCTTTGTGCTTTTGTGCTGGATGTTTAAGGGACACCTTCTGTTGCAGTGGGAAATAGAGTAATAGCATAGGGGAAAAAGTCCCCTCAGAATGCTAAGGAATACTTGTTGAAAGCTGAAGAAATATTTGCAATGTGTTTCAGTTTCAGCTTGTCAACAAAAATGTTTGCTGATATTTCAGAGCTTGAAAAAGACTCAGGTGTTCACTTATATAAGGCTTCATAGTCAGGCAGGGTTGTACTGTAAATGTTCTACAGCAGATAAGGAAGTTAAATGAAATTCTCAATGTGGTTTAAAAGTGTTTCCTTTGAATATCACAAAGAAAGTCTGAAGCCAAAGTGGTAATGGGAAAATCTCTCTTGTGTAAAGTCCATTCATTGGTGAATATGAAGTCTCAGTAGAGGTTAAAGACAGTTATTAACCAAAGGAAAGACTTATAGAAATCCAACTTTTGCACTTGCAGTCTGAAGACTGCATGTCTGGATGCCTATAATTTCCTAGGAGTGTGGTGTGAGACATGATTTTGTTGCTTTTTTAGCTCATACACATACCCACTCAATTTCCTGCATAGAAGCCTAGAAACAAATCTTACTTTAACTCGGACAAGCGCACAGTGAAAAGGAGATTATTAAGTAGGAGAATAGTACCTACCTCACTGACACTTCCCACGACAAATTGGACCATTTTCTTTATGTAGGTATTTGCTGGTGAGGAAGAAGATTCCTTCTGATGTGCTTCACATACTTCCAGAATTGACTCAGGAGAAAGCCTTTTATGTGGCAGATCTTCACATAGTGTTAGCAACAGACTGTGTAATTGGTCACTCAGCTGGAGGGACTGAGTCAACATGGAGGTACAGTTAAATCACACCTCACAGTGGTCTGAAATCCTGTCTAAACTGGGATCAAATACGTCAGTAAGGCTTTCATCATGAGTGAGAAATGGGCATTAACTTCCTTTACATGGGAACAATCCTGGACAAGCAGTAAAATAGCACTAAATGGAGTCTCTAATGGGATATAGGGTAGCTTTGAAGGGAACTGGTATATACAAGAAGGGTCATCAGTATGTATAGAAGCTTCCAGGTGACAGCCAGCAGCTCAGTCTGCTCCATGTCTTTGCTAATTAGACTGTGCATCATAAAGATTCGTGCAACAAGCATTAACTTAAAAAAGTTAAGGAGTTATGCAAGCCAAAACTGTTGCCATAGAGACCAAATACTGAAATTTTAGAGTCATTAAACTTACTGAGTCTTTTCCCTTATACCATGTATAACCTGTAAAAGCTAGTGCTTTCCAAGTTAAGAACATGCAGTCAAAGTATGGGTATAGAAATGAAGTGAAATGTGTGCTACAAATTTTTGAAAAGATTATGAACAAGCAAGAGATGCGAAATTTCACTTAGCAATAGAATGTGTCCAGAAGCTTTTATTCCATCATCCCATCCATTCTTTGAAAAAGCACATGTGAAGCACCAGAATCATGTGGAAATGATGATTTTCTTTCAGCCCTACCTATCTTATTAGGAAATTTCTTATTATGGTCTTTGAATAAGTAATCTTTACTTTTAAAAGAAAATTAATCTTACTAGAAAGAATTCTGCTTTTCAAAAAGGAAAAAAAAATAAAGAAAAAGAAAGGAAAGATAAGAAGCCTAACTAAATTCCTTATCTGCATGAATTGGTATTTTTTATAAAGCCTGTGTCTTTTACAAGCATTCCAATCAGCCATATTCCTTTTACTGGTCCAAAACTAATAGCCACTTTTACTGAGACTTCACTTTACACTTCTCAGACTTTGAACATACCAAGAGTGAGATAGAATAAAAGAAAACAAAAATGTTTATATTACTGGCCTGGTTTGGAGGAACCTGATAGTCTGCTGACCAATAGAGGGTCATTCCTAAGGAATACACCAACATCTGTCAAAACAGAAAGGGAGACCCTTTATGAAATCTTTATACAGAGATCTTTCTAATTGTAGCCAGATTTGTTTAACATGATTAGAAATCAATTTTGACAGTAGATACCTGGTATGTTGCATGAAATCCCACAACCTTGTCTTCACAAGGTCTTATCAAGATCTTTTTTGTAGTATACCTCACCTTCATTAGTCCAATGCGCTGGTTTTTATTCTGTCTGTGGAGTAATTCTGGTGCGCTGAAAGGGATCGCTTCTGTCTGAGATGCATTGTTTTGGAAGGACAGATTTCCTTCAGCAGACAGTAGTATTGACCATGGACAAATCACACAAATGATAGGGTCTGAAAAATGGTAAAGAAGATAATGGAGTTCTTGTGGATTTCAGTGAGCTGAGAAAATCATATTGCTGGGATCCCAACACACAGCTAAATCCATCACTAAGGCTTCCAGGAGACATACTCTAAAGTCTGTGTAGTCATATTCTTTTATGCCTAGCTGATTTTGCCACCTGGAATTTAGTGATTTAAGATTTGATTTCTATCTCTCATAATTCCACATATAAAAACAATATATTGACTTTCTTAGATTTCTGAAGCCTAAGAAATCACATCCCATCTCCAGATTCTGGTTGCGGTATTATCATATTTGGTAGATGCAAAGCACAAAAAAAATGTCAGAAGAATAGAACACTTCTTCTAATACAGCACAAATACTTTGAAGGTGACATTTGAAAAAGAGCTGAAGTTAGGTTCCATTAAGTTACATGACCACGGTACAAATTTCTGTGGTGATATTTCTTCATCCATGTATTGCTTGTAGTCCTATCACCTTGTAAGCTTTTGGTTAAGAGGAAACATCATTTCCAATTATCCTCAGGAGAATTTTGTACCAGGATGCAAGCATGGAAACTTATCCTAGGTTCTGCCAGTAATGTGAGAAGCTATGATACTTTGCATTCAGTCCATGTGGCTATATTTCAGCTCTATTAAGAGGGAGAAAGGGTATTTTAAACAAAAGTGTTTTCAAATGATAAATACTGACCCCTGAACCCATCAAGGTTCTGAGGACACTGGTCTTACTTGGAGCCTACACTCAGCTTTGCCCAATGCCTGGTTGCTTCTTAGAAAGTGTTGAGTTCTCCTTAAAAATATCCATGGCAGATTCAGTGGTCTGAACCAGAAGTGGAGGCAGGAGGATGTGCAGTCTTCTGCAAATCCTACATGTATGCATGCATATGTTAACAGAATTTGGCGAAAAACATCCAAGTGACTGAGTTAAAATATCATTTAAAAAAGCATGACAAAATGTCTAAGATTTATCTGTTTACTTAGAAAGAGGAAAATCTGCATTAACTATGGAAACATTTGGATAGAGTGTTCCTGGAAATATAGGTATATATATATTTTTAAAGTTGGCTATTGATCCACTCTCTTCAGTCTAGGTAGGAAGAACAGAAACTACTAAAATCTCCATAGGTGAAGACTTTGGAACCATGCTGTAAATGCTTTGGTATTTTTACATTTTAAAAATTATATATTAAATATATAAATATTATATACTAAAGCTAGATGGCTACTTAATTCTTATGCATGGTGAATTCTTATGCATGCATCCCCTTTACATTGGGAATGTGGAACAAAGGTTAAAAGTGTTGAGCTGATAACTTATATACTACTAAGAGGTTTGCATAGCTGGAGTACCCAAAGATTCAAGACTTACAGGCCATATTTACAACAGTTAAGACATTCATTTTTTAGAAAACTAAAGGTCTTAAAATTATCAGCTTGCCTTATCCTTTTATCCTCCCCCATTTCTGTAGCATTGTATTCAAATACAACTAGAACATGCTAGGAAATTAGTCTGTTTTAGAAACAGATAGCCAGCTTGATCTTTAGTCTCAATTAAGATTACCTGGTTTTGTGTAATGTTGGCCAGCCAACCAGTCAGAATGCCTGCCTGACTAATCTGCGCCCAAACAAATGTGTTGGAAATACAGCTATAGCCAGTTGGTACTGACCAATGCCAGGTCTAGCAGATCAAGTACACCTCAGCACAAATGTGGCAGTATTTGCCCTAAGAGCCTGATTCCAGAAACAATACAGCTGCAAATATGAGAAGTGGAGACAGAGATATGGCTTAGTTAACTGGGCTGTTAATGTGCAAAAACAGTTTACTTTTGCTATCCTCCAAGAAACTGGACCACTGGGAATTCACTCTTCAGAATGAGTCAAACTTGGCATCACTCTGGACTAGAGCTCTCTGAAGTCATGACTGGGTAACCTTGCACCACATCTATCTATCTATCTATCTATCTATCTATATATTTATTTTTTTTTAATTATTATTATTTTTTTTTTTAATAAGATCTGAAGAGTGTAGGGTTGGCTTAGTGTCTGATATGGACCTGAGCTGAATTTATCCAGGTAGGTATTTCAGTGTTAAAATCCTTTCCATGTTCCTAGTGCCTGTATTGTATGGCTAGATCACAGAATCATAGAATCACAGCAGTTGGAAAGGACCTCTGGACACCAAGTAGTACACTAGATATTTGAGAACTGATGATTCAGTCAGCCTGACATAGTGGTCCAGTCCATTAAAATTTGGTTGTTAATAAAAGTTCACCCCTCCAGCTATAGCAGAAGTTACATATCACTTGCTTAAAAGTCTTTTACTGAGAGATGGAGGAGCTATGTGAACTTACTTGTCCTCCTCCTCTCCCAGTTCTTGAAGGACATGGTTGTAGCTGGCACTGCACTTTCTGTATGTTATTCAGACATTAGGAAGGACAACTCTGTCCTGTTCCACCATCTATAGCTCTACTTTAATTTATTTCTGATGTGTAATTTAGAAAAAAGTGGCTGTGTGAAGACTTGCATATTGGTACAGTAATTTGCATGCAAACGTAGCTGCACTGAAAGCTTTCTCATCTGTAATAGAAATATGCTATTATTGCCATTAGTGCCTTTTGTCTCAACAAACAAACAAACAAAAAACATGAACATACCAACAAAAACAAAACAAAACAAAATGAACAACCCCCTCAAAGCAATCATTTAAATACCAAAATAGCTTAAGAAGGAGTTTCTAATAGTAAGATACTTTTCGTCTCACCTTTGTGAAGGTCTTCCAGAAGCTGCAACGTGGACAGGTACAAAAGTGCCCATATATCTTCCTCCTCCAAAGGGCTCCCTTTGGCCCACAGGACCTCTGCCAGTGTTGCACAGGAGCTGCTCATGCCTGCTGTAATAGGAAGCAGATCTGACCAGTTAGGGTAGACTGAACTGCTTGTAGCAAGCCCTACTGGTTACAGCTGAGACCTGCTCTCACGATAAGAAATCTTTTTTGAACCACTCTTCTTCTTTGTTCACAAAAGACAGGAATAATTTATCCATGTTTTCATCTCAGTAAGAGTAAATAAAGGAGATTAAGTGACTTCCTGTCATATTTCTCAGCCCTTTCACTCATCGCTTCACAACATTATGTGGGGCAAATCATTTTTACTCTGGATATCCTTTATATTCTGTTCAGACTTTATGAGTGGTTATCTGAATGGGAAGGCATTGATTTTGCTGCTTAATTGGGTGCCCTTGTCTATAAGAACACAATTGTGACAATCTTAGACAAAAAGAATGACAAAGCAAAAGAGATGCACTGTAACATAAAGGATCTATAAACACAATTCTGCAATTATGTTTCATTCATTGCTCAGGTTGTAAAAGCTTGTAGACTTACTGGATTCATTGATTGAACATTTTCATGGTCTTACAGCTAAGACTTGGAACTTGCAGTTCATTCTTACTAGCATACGTATAAACTTTCTTAATTTCAGTGAAGTAAATTAAGAAGTAATTCCCTCTGCATGCTGCTGAATAGCAGTGCAGTGGTTCTCAGAATGCTGTTTATTCCCTGACAGGTGCATGAGAATTGGTGTAGTGTGGGAGAATGTTGGTCCTCACCATCTCCATGTTTTTTCCCAGCTGCAATGAAGTATCATGTTATTTAGAGGAAGGCATCCTGTACTGAATCGTAATTTAATATCTTACCAATTGGAAGAGTATTTTTCCAATCTTAGGTAAATGCAGTCTTCCTTGTGACTTGAACTGTCAAAGCTTTTTCTCCTCAGAATATTTTACCATACTAAGTAATGTCAAAGATTGTTCTTCATAAATGGGCTTTATATTCCCATTTCACCCGTTTCACATTTCGGTAATGTACTAATCTAGGTATAGCTGCTCTAGGTGTACACATCTGTAAGAAAAATTTAATCCACGGTTAAAATTTGCTTACAGTTTTTGAAATTAATTTTGGTTTTGGTGTTGCTATCCTGTAACGGTGATCTATACTGTATGCTGTATAAATAGAGGCTTAATGAGAGAAGTAGGATGTGATCCATCAATTGCTTTGTGAGGTTGTCATTTTCTATAGATGACCAAGTGATGACACTTGAGCCCAGAATGCTGTTGTTATGTTATAGGATTGGAAGTGCTACTGTGAAATAAGTTAGTCAAAGCATGAAAACACATTTTCCCTCCAGCATTTCTTCACCCTCAGGACACAGCCCACTTACTGTTCCCATTTGCTCTCTGCCTGCAAGTGAATTTACTGTCTTACAGGTGATTTTTTTTTTATATCTACCATTTATTATGCAGCTTTCAAGGGGTCACAGCAAGAGCATTGCAAAGTTCTGCAGGACAAACATGTTGTTGATTAATAGACTTCTTAGACTTTGCTTCATGGGGTCTTGTCCTGGTTCACTAGCTTCCATTCAAGGAAGCACAACACTGGAAGAACGACCCCATGCTGCAGTCACTGTGGTATTATGGGCCAACATTTTAAACAAAACCAGAGTTCTAATTGTAGCCTGTGTGCCTTCAAGAGATAGTAAAGCTTCTTAAGAACCTAACCTTAATTAGAAGAGACAGACAAAGCTGCTTAATCTAAGCCATCACCATCTCCCTTAATAATAAATTACTGTGATAGCATTTCACTTAACCCTGTGGTACTGTGTCTAAGCAATCAATTCACATCCCCAGAGCTAGAATCTCTGTGGCTTCTCCATATGACTAATCCACCAGTCTATACTTGCTGCTGTTTTGTTCGAGATTGTATTGGAAGAAGAAGCACTGAATCCTCTATTTTAGATGGAAATGCTTATACAAAGTCATTTCAGTGCTGGTATTTCTAAGTAGAATAAATTACTCAAACTAGCAGTTATCTGGAGTCCAAACATCACACCTTTATAGAGACAAAGCAAAAACAGAAGTTACCTCTGAGCTGTTAAACTTTGGTAGTAAATGTTTTTTTTAAGGATAGATATAGTGTCTCAGACACAACAGAGTGTGAATTAAATGAATTCTGCTAGCAACTATGTACAAATTTCTTCAAAAAATACATAAATGATTAAGCTGTATAGCTATGAAAAAAAGAATCTCTTTAAAGTGTAATAAATTACTGCTTTAACATGATGTAGAATTAAGTGGTATGTTATTTTAAAAGCAAATTGGCAATTGATTTTTAAGCACACTCAGAATGCCCTGTAATTGTGGGCTGTATTTTTAACTTCTGGTTTTCAAGAATAGCATAATGTGATGTTTCACAAAAAATGTAACAGTGAATGGTTGGGGAAAACAATATTTTTGTAACTAACTTAGGCTGTTTGTATGATATGAGAGTGTAAGTGATAAAAAAATATGATTACCATTGTAGCACTGTACGTATTGATAGTATTTAAATTCAGTAAAAGCTGTGACCCAGAACCAAACAAGCTAACAATGTTAAGGCAAAGCAGACAAATCAGGGGGCAACAAGGAGATAGGTTTCTAATCTTGCAAAAAGGGACTAACTTGTTCACATGATTGTCACTTGATCTCTTGATTGTCACTTGGCTGTAACACTATGCATTGGGAAGTGATGCTAGATCTAGTTGAGTCTGAAGGGAAAAATCAGAACAGCAGAATGCAATCACCCCCTGTGGAATTTGGCCAGGATATAGATGTTAGTCTTTTACTGCTTGGGAAAAGTATCAAAGGGCTTTCATCATCTATTTGTACTTGTCTGTGAAGTCAAAGACAAATCTTCCATTGACTTCTATGGAATAAGGTAGAAGGATAATTAATGCCATCCAAGTGGGCAAATTAACCTAAAACAGTCCCCCCATTCTCATCTTTGCAACAAATATTCATTCATTACATAGGCAGCCTCAAGTCAATAATTTTCCTCTGCAAAAATTTAATCTACTCTTCTGGCATTGAAGATATGAAAGATGAGGCTAACCCATCATTTTGCCAAAAACATCCACCTGTTCATGACATTTCTTTTCAAATTGTTTCAGCCCACTTCAGTACATTTTGTTTTATCCTGTATTCATGCTTTCCTTCAAGCAGTGATTGAAATTTATTATCAATGAAAGAAATGGAACTGCTTATTAAAGATGATGAACTGCAGCTTTGCATCTGAATTTAGCACATAATAAGAGTCACAAAAGAGTAATTCTATATATGAGGGTCACTTAATGTGCAATTTGGCTTCGTTATATTTGGCAGTCTTAGTAAAGTGTAAGTGAGCAACTTAGCTTTTGTCAGCCTTCATCTTTACTACTGCTGCTTTGTTGACTGCATAAAGATGACAGAAGTGCAATTTTTGGGGGGGATAGGGGCGAGGGGAATGGCTCATCTGGATTCCTAACTGAATGCCAGCCCTTTTTCACAGGAATCTACCGGCTAGAGTTTACTGTGGAATTTGTTCAGCTGTGAAATTGTTTTCTGCAGAATCAAAGTATTAATCCATTACCTGGATGGTAGTGAAAAACGAGGTGAAAAAAGAGAGATTACAAGACAAACCAGTGAATAAGATGGTGAGGAAGGAGGAATAATTTTTAGGTTTTGGAAATATCAGATCTTTTTTTTTCTGGTGTACTTTTAAAAACATGAAGCAGGAGCACATTTGCCCCATTTAGGCGCCTTGTAGATAGAAGAACAAAGGATTAAGCTTGGGCAGGAGCCAAGCATTCTGTGAACTGAAAGCTTTCTATCACAGCAGAAATGCCTTTCAATTTTCATGGTCCAGAAGACATTCTTGCAAAGTTCTTGCCTTTCTTCTGTCTGGACATCCAGCTCAGCTTAGATATTCTATCCTGTATATTGCTAAATACATGGCTATCCCTTTCAGCTTTTAAACTGCTGAGGGGTATAAACAGTGGTAGATTTTGTAAACAGCTGTGCCTGAGGAGATAACATTTCCTATGTATGGTGTGAACATAAATATCCATCAGAGGCCATCCACTAGAGGAACTAATTGTTTTTGACACAAGTGAGCCAGTGAACGGCCACACGAGGATCTGTGACAAACCTGAGAGGTTCCTGCTCAGCCTCTAAGCTACTGAGAGTGTGAGGGGATGCTTGGAGTGACAGGCAAATGGGACAGGGCTTAGGGACTCACCTCTTCCATTTGCACCACTATACCCAGAAAAAGTTGTCTGCACACAACAGTACTTGCATCCTGGTGCAAACCTACTGTACATGCAGACACCTTAAGCTGGATGATATTGATTTTGCTTAATTTAAGCACTACACTGGGAGTATCTAAATCTCCAACTTCCAAGGACAGCCTCAGAGGCCAGGAAGTATTTCTTCTTGCACTGTATTGAAGGACACATCAGAAAAACCATGTGCATGTCTAGGAAAAGCTGGTCTTTAGCCATCAAGATATAATATTTTTCTTAGCTTTCTCCCTTTCAGCTATTGTTCTCCAACTCCTTTGCTATGTGTAGCAGTCTCTGCCTGTCTGTCAAAAATCACCTCCTGTAAGTGACTGAGTAAAACCAAGGGGACACAAGCATACTTCAGTATAGCCCACGGTAAAACTTGTATTGGTGGCAGAAAGATGAAGTGGGGAAAAACTTTTTAGAAGACAAAATTTAAGGCAGAGAACCTCGGGTTTATTCTGCAATACAATTGAGAAATATATATATATTTTTTAAATTGAGCAATCTGTTTTCAAATCTAAGCTGACCAAATGCCAGAAAAGTTGGCAACTTGAAGTGATGTTTTCCTTGGATTTTAGAGGGCTAACAGACTGACTTTAAGGGCTGAAAATGTTTGGCTGTTGTGTGCCTTATATCTTATGCCTAAACCTCAGCTCTGGAACCTCTCTCAACCCCTGCAGGCTGAGTCAGGGTCACATCCTCCTTTACACAACTCAGATGGCAGTAAGGGGAGCATGAAGAACTACCTGCTA